CGACACTTTGACCAGTTGGAATCGCGAACAAAGTTCTACAATTTGCAATTAAAGCAAATACAAAAGAGAATGTTGACATGTACAACGCATGCTTAACAGAGGGTGTGTTCCCAAGTCGCTGAGAAGCTCAGCTGCTGATACTCATACCAAGAACGTGCAAGCCGGTGTAGAAGACTTCTTCACATAGGCCCTTTTGCATGCTGAATACGGTGGGTAAAATTCTGAAAAGAATAATCCACTTACGGCTCTAAGGTGGCCTTGCCGATGGTGTTACCGAACTGTGTGAAATCGCAGAAACCGCTATTGAGGGGAAAAGGTATTTGTACAGCACTAAGCAGTACTGCATAACGAAATCCTTGGATGTTGAAATCGCATTCAACAGAGTCAGTGGGGCATATGGAATGCCAAGTACGTTTGGATCCACGACTGAGGGGCACGACAGAAAAATCTTCATAATCATCGTATTTTTTGCGTATTTACATAAATAAATGACCATTTTTTCACAATCAGTGGAACCATAGCATATTTAATTTGTTTTGCTGAAAAATTTCCAAATCCCAACTATCTAGCTTTTATAGTTTCCGAGATCTCAGCGTTCTTACGGACGGAGAGACAGACGGACATGTCTAGATCGACTCGGCTAGTGATTCCGAGCAAGAATAAATATACTTAATGGGGTCGAAACGCTTCTACAAACTTTCCGATGAATCTAGTATACCCTTTAACTGTACGAGTAACGGGTATAAAAACAATAAAAGAAGACCGGGACTCCAAGGAAACCCCCGGAACGGTGAGCAAACGTCTTATTGGGGTGGGATTTCCGAGCAGTTCGGGCTCTAAGCCCGCTACTAACGGCTCACAGGAAGGGGTGGGTGCAACTAGCACCTCGTCCGCATCGTCCATCGGCGGTCCCACAGGTCCTGGAGTGATGGCGAAACCACCCTTCAGGCAGGTGAAGAGACGAGCAGCTTTCGTCCCTATAAGGGTGGACCTTAAGGCGGTACCCTTTGATAACTGGGCCGCCCTGTTCAAATGGGAAGAAAGGTGGAGCACAATTTGGCCCAATAAAAAGGCCCCACATGCAACCACCAAGAATCAACGCTGTACTGAACAGAATTCCCCGAACCCCAAGCGGTCATAAACGCAGCCAAAGCAGCGCTTTTTACGAAGGGCATGACCATCGTTGGGTCCTCGATAGGTGCCACAGCGATGTCCATATCACTAAGGACAAATGACACAGCGTGCTTAGAAATCTACAGGACCGCGTCATAGAAATGGTTTTGAAGACAGGGGGAGCACCTCCACTATATAAGAACGCTTGGTGGAATTAGGGCAAGGTCAAAATAGTGGCCTGCCAAGAGGCCGATGCCGCGGTCTTCCACAAAAGAATATCTTGGTGGAATTCCTTGGGGAAATCTGGATCTCAAGCAGACTCAGGGCCACAGTCAGGCTTTCGGAAAAAACTTTCGGAACCGGAGAGCATTCTCAAAATGCTTGAAGCCTGTAACCCGACAATGCTAACCACTTATTGTCAGATTCCAGGCGTGGAAGAGTTAGGAAGCTCAAAAAGTTGGGTTATACTCTCTATAATTGAGGAATCCAGCAACTTGGTAAAGGCAGCTGAGGGCTATGGGTTGAAGAAAGTAGTGGTGCGCGTGTATAAAGGAGACTCCAGAAGTCGCCTCATGAGGACAGGGAGGACCCCTTCTGTCTACTCACATCTATACCGATGGATCGAAAGTTTCGATTCGAAACTAAACAACCAGGTGGAAGAGGGAGTCTACTCCGAGCACCTTGGATTAAACATCTCTTTCAGACTCCCTGATCTTCCTGTCTTCCAGGTAAAAATGTTAAGGAGACACTTCTCAGTCTAAAACCCTTAGACACTTCTCAATCTGTTCGTATCTACTCAGATAGTCAGGCAGCATTTCGCTCGCTCGTCCAACTAGCCTTAAACACCAAAGCTGTAAACGACTGCCGCAAATACCTTAACGAGATGGCGGATCAGTTTGCAGACGACGAACTCACTAGAGTGGGCACTATCTTGGTTCCCTCCAGGGAGGGGGTGTTTGGGCAGTCCTATGAGCACGTGCGGGTTAGTATACAGAGACTTCTTTAATCTCGAACCAAACAAGAAGTGGCCAAACCTTACTTCTTTCAAAATATTGCGAGAGTTCTGGCCACAACGGATGTCAAAGCAATGCAAAGAGCTCTTTACTCTCCAAGGAACAGAATGCGCCCTACCTATAAGGCTCTTACGCTGCATAGATGAGGAACATTCCAGCTTTTATAGTTTCGGAGATATAGGCGTTATGCGGAGATATCTTTAGTAAATACAACAAGCTATAGTTCTAATTGGTACGCAATCAACACCAAAATAGCCAATAGTTAATGTTTCCCCATAATAACACAGTGCAACACGAAAAATGTAACCGCAGTTTGGATTTCTTAATCTGAAAGTACTCATCTAACGAGTCAGAACCCATTTGTTGATCCTCTGGCTTAGCTCGACTTTAAGATTTGGTGTAACACTGAATTTATAAGGCAATATCTCTTAAGGATATTCGAATTTAGGGAACAGTCCACAATGATATTTTAGTCAAAAACACAGAAGCATAAAATATACATAATTTGTTTTAAAACGGTTAATGTTATTCGTTAGACTCAATATTTAAAATATAGGATCTGGTAAATACCAACCAAATACATTAAATACAATATGGTATATTTCCGGAATTTTAAAACCTATTTCCCGATAGGTGAATTTTTTTTAAACGTCTTTGGATTGCGTTATTAGTTTTCTTGGCTATACCTATAATAATCTTGAAAACATGAACAGAAAATTGCAATAGGCCCTTAAGATATAGCCAATTTTTATTTGAAATTATTAAATTGCTTTAATACCCAATCGCGAGCTAAAGTAGAGGAACGGCAAATAAGGTCTGACTCGATTCGATGAGTACTTTCACAATTTAAAAACTAAACTGCGACTTCACTCCCAAACCCTAAAAATGTTGCACAGTGTAATTGATCATAGTAATGTTTAATTCAATAAAGCCAACAAGACCTTTAACAACTTTTTTATACTCTTTACTCGTACAGTAGAACGGTATTCTAGGTTCATCGGAAAGTATGTAACAGGTAGAACAAAGCGCTTCCGACCCTATAGTGTATTAACATTCTGATCAGAATCACTTATCAAGTCGATCTAACCCTGAACGTTTGTCCGTCTGAGATCTCGGAATCTATAAGAACTAGAAAGTCGGGATTTGGCATGTAGATTCTTGAGCTTCTTGCGCAGCGCCCTAGTTTGTTCCGCCAGCGCTAACGCCCACAAACGCCCATAGCGCCTAAACCCGTCTAATATTTAAAATAAATTTAAATACGATTTTATTTTGATTACCAATGTCTAAATACATGCGAAAAAATCGGGCCATTCATTATAAAGTTATAAGCAAAGAAAGTTTTCAATCTTGAAAACAGACGCTTTGCTACTTCTATATCTCTGTCTCCCTCGCACTCCCTGAATGGTCCCTGTACACTTAGCGGGTATCTGATAGTCGATAGCATCGACTACAGCGTTCTCTCTTGTTTAATTTTAGTTTATCCAAGTAAATTGCTATTATGCTTTAAAGCTCATTAGAAGTACATTTTATTGCAAGCCACGTTAAAATTGAAGATCACGAACTGTCAGCATGCAATGCTTATAAAAATGCCAAAGACAATGGTATTTTTTGTGCTTTCTGGCCTTATGTAAAACTATAATATATAATACAATATATAAACTATACTGCAGCGGAATGGATATGTTTTTCTCGTTTTTCCCATATATAATTTCGAAGAATTGGTCTTATAATAAAAATTTGACCTCAATTGCTTAGAAACTAACTTTTACGTACTGTGAATTTTAAATAATAATGTCACCATTCAGACAAACTTATCATAATTTTTCAGACAAACACTTTTTGATATTCATTGCCTACAAACGTTTTTTACCGCACACATAGGCGAGGGGGCCAAATAATATTCTTAGCTGCTCGAGGTTCAGAGTAACTTAACACCAAAAAAAAGTTCTTTATAGGAAAACAGGGAGGAACGATATAGTACCTCAACTATCAGATACCCGTTACTCAGCTTAAGTAACAAAAGGGAAATTGAGATATGCAGCAGCAAAGCGAGATTGAAATGCGCCACCTACCCGCGATCTCAATATATGTTTATGTGGGCGTAGACTGATTTAAGCTTTATATATATATATACTTTATGAGATCGGAAACGCTTCCTTCTGCCTGTTGCATACTTACCGACGAATCTAGTACACCCTTTTACTCTACGAGTAACGGGAATAACGGGAATAGTTTCCGAGATCACAGCGTTAATAGATCCACTCGGCTAATAATCCTCATCAAGAATATACATACTTTATATTGTTGGAAACGCTATCTTCTACTTGTTACATATTTACTTTCCGACGTATATAATGTACCCCTTTTCTCTACGGGTAGGACGTATAAGAATTGACCGGATAAGCCGAGAAACCAAAATCCGACAAACATAAATTCAGCTCTCATTGAAAACTATAAATATCTTAAAAATTTCATACATTTTAACGGGTATTCAGTTGTGATGGCTTTGATGCCGTTCGAATCGTTTTTTAGTAAATTTACTCTTTTTACTTTTACCCGAATAAGCCGCGAAACCAAAATCCGACAAACATAAATTCAGCTCTCATTTTGAAAATTATCCAAATATCTTAAAAATGTCATACATCCTAACGGATGATCAGTTATGATGGGTTTGATGCCGTTCGACTCGTTTTTTAGTAAATTTATTCTTTACCCTAATTTCTCCTGAACCAAAATCAAATGTAATTACTTTTATTTTTTTTAATAACTGTTGCAGATAATCAATTTAATTTCGTAAAAATGTGTTATTACGAGATACATTTTAACAAAATAGCAGGTGATTGGCTCTGTTATACTTTTGCACCCCGAACTTACTTTCTTCGCGAACTCCTTGCGGCTGGGGGCACTGAATGCTCTCGTACTCTGTTCTTCCAAAACTGGCACTATATACGGCTATCCGGGAGTACGGATTGCACTCCAGTTGAGCTACGTCATTGTGGCACGCAACTTTACTCCGGAACTCATCTATAATATAATAAAAAAATCAAACAGTAATATTTATTAATTTTAAAACAAGATAGAAGATATAGACGAGTGCCTCGACTATCATATAAGCGTAACTCAGTTTACCAATTTCACATGTTACCTAATTGATGGCACGTCGATAGATTTTGATAAATAAAATAAAACAAAAAGTACACTGAAAAAATTTTCTAAAATTTAGGCTTGTCACTCTGTTGAAGCAAACATAACCTGCACTAGCAGAATCTGAATGCAAATTTTAACCCTCTAGCTTCAAAATGTGGGCGTGTCACTCGGATAAAACCAACACGTGCACAAATAGAATCGCTCTTTACTTTATGGAGTGCTATTGATAAAAGACAGAAAATGACATTTGCACTTTTACAAAATATTTAGAATTAGAGTGGGCCGCGTAGTAATACCTAGCATCTCTTTCCTTAATACTGACAGATGGACATGGCTAGATCGACTCGGCTAGTGATCCTGATAAAGAATGTGTATACTTTATAGGGTCGGAAACGCTTATTCTACCTATTAATGGGTATAAAAGCGTTAGCAACAAGATCCTCAACATTTTTTGGACCTGTGTTTCATATAAGTAAGATTTCTCCTTGGAGCGCTAGAAAGGAAACAGCGTTGTGGGCGTTGGAGTGGGCACTACGATGAAACAAACTTGCACTGCAAAATTCTATTTTTCTAGCTTTTATAGTTTTGTCAGCGTTCATACGGACGAACCAAAAGACATGGCTAGTTCGACTTGGCTAGTGCCCCTGATCAGGAATATATATCACTGTGGACGGCAGTACACGTAGTGACGAAGCGCACCAGGAGAGTGTGCGAACGACGTACCGCTGACGTCTTGCAAGTGACATCACCTCCACCCAAACCCCCCGGGCGACGTCTCATTAACGGCGATGCCGTTCAACCAGGACATCGAACTGCCAAAACAGCGGACTCTGGATGCCGAATCATGTAAGCAACTGGGCCACAGGTATCCGGCCGAAAATGCTGACCAAGGGTATTTCGCAAGCACAGCATATGTACCCCACTCTTAAGCTAGGTCTCATATGTACTCAGAACTTAAATAATAACAAGGAAGAACGCTATACCTTGTACCTTGACTATCAGATACCCGTTACTCAGATAAATGGAGATATGCAATCAGCAAGCGAGATTAAAATGCGCCACCTACCGGCGGTAGACTGATTTAAGCGTTATGGGCGTTAGAGTGGGCGTGGAACATTTTTTTTGGATCAATCGATAGGTGTTGACGAGACCAATACATTTCAGTTAAAATTTTTTATCTAGCATGAAACTTGTGGGCGCCACAGGCTTGGGCGGTTTGTGGGCGTTAAAGTGGGCGTGGCAATTTTTTTTTTAAAATCAATCGATAGGTATTGATGAGAGCAATACATTTCAGTTAAACTTTTTATTCCAGCATCAAAACCGTAGGAGCCACGAATTTGGGCGGTTTGTGGGCTTTAGTGTGGGCGTGGCACTCTGCTGAATCAAACTTGCGCTGCGTAAGAAGTTCAGGAATTTGCCTAGCCTAGCTCTTATAGTTTCCGAGATCTCAGCGTTCATCCGGACAGACAGACGGACATGGCTTGATCGACTCGGCTAGTGATCCTGATCAAGAATATATATACTTTATGGTCGAAAACGCTTCCTTCTGCCTGTTACATACTTTCCGACGAATCTAGTATACCCTTTTACTCTACGAGTAACGGGTATAACAAGGAAGAACGCTTAGAGTACCTCGACTATCAGATACCCGTTACTCAGCTAAAGGAACCAAAGGGAAATGGAGATATTCAAGCAGCAAAGCGAGATTGAAATGCGCCACCTACCGGCGGTAGACACATTTAAGCGTTATGGGCGTCAGAGTGGGCGTGGAAATTTTTTTTGAATCGATCGATAGGTTTGTGGTTTGTGGGCGTTAGAGTGGGCGTGGCATATTCGCGTAACAAACTTGCGCTGGGTGCAAGGCTACGGAATCTAAATCTGAGATCCCAATTCTCTATCTTTGACAGTTTCCGAGATATCCACGTTTTTTTTTAAGATTTTTTGAAGTTTATGGGAGGTTTGTGGGCGTTTTAGTGGGCGTGGCAAACTTTTTTTTGGGTGAGTCGATAGGCATTGACGAGAGCAATACATTTCAGTTAGAATTTTTATTCTAGCGCCAAAACTGTAGGAGCCACAGTTTTGGGCGGTTAGTGGGCTTTAGTGTGGGCGTGGCACTCTGCTGAAGCAAACTTGCGCTGCGCAGGAATCTCAGTAATCTGCATGCCTAATCCCAGTATTGTAGCTTGTATAGTTTCCGAGATCTCAGCGTTCATACGGACAGACGGACGGGCTAGTGATCCTGATCAAGAATATATATACTTTGTGGGGTCGATAACGTTTCCTTCTGCCTGTTACATACTTTCCGACGAATCTAGTATACCCTTTTACTCTTCGAGTAACGGGTGTAATAATCAGACTTAGAGCGACACTGAAAATAAGAAGTTGATTTTATTACTAAATCTAGAATCTCTAAACCAACCACACCCGGACCACATTATCAAAACGAAGACTCATACCAGCCACTCCCGGCCACAGACATAATTGGCGCAGCCGGTTTTTAAAAGAACCAAGGATGGAATTCACCGAATCATCATAGTAGCCACTATGTAATAAATTGGGTTGCCCTTTTGGCTTAAAAATGGAAAATGAAAAAGAGCAAACATATTTGTGCGGATAATAAAAAAAGTAATAAAATACCAACGGTCTAAGTCAGCGAGTTAGTGAAGCCTAACACAAAAAAAAACTATCAATAATGTGTGTGTACCAACAAAACCCTAACAAAATATAAATACCAATTGTTACCATCAATCGCTGATTGGCACAAAATGCATCGCGCATTATTATGGATGTACAAAATTAAAATGTTTCAAGCAAATTATACACTACAATTTTTTATCATATGTCTGTATTAGCTGTGACCATCAATCGCTGATCGGCACAAAATGCATTGTGCATTAAATATGGATATATAAAAATACTCCAAACAAAATCGTACATTGGAAATTTTATTTTGCACACATATCAACTGTAACCATCTATCGCTGATGCACATTAATTATGGACGCACACATTCAAATTTTGAGCTTCTACATAACACAAATTCACATTTGCAACATGCACCCATTCAAAAAATATTATATTCATGGCTGAGCATTCCCTCTACATAGAGGAAAGGGAAGAAGGGTACCACTCGTGTCGGTCTTGTTCCAGGCTCTCCGCTATTTTATGTACATATAATAAGCGTGAGTCCGGGAGCCGACGACAACTCGATGGAATAATTTCTTTTCCCCCTCCTTTCCCCCTGGTCTAGCTATGAAACTCGATACGTTTGAGTCCCAGACTCGACGAAGAAGAGCTACAATGTTGCAGAAAAGAACACAAACTCTTCGACAAAATTGTTGAAAAAGACTCCCAATTAACTAACATTGTTGCCATTTGCAGCATAATTTAAAATTAAATCGAATTACAATTTTCAAGAGAAGCATACAAAAATCTTAACATTCATTATTCCCACAACAAACGGACCAATCACTTTTACCCATGGTTGCCACAACTTAGAAAAAAAGACACACACACGTACACAAATTATGTCTGTTTTACAGATTCTCAGTGTAATACAACAACACAAACACTAGTAACTATTCGTTACTATCGCATCCACATTTTAATATACACATATTATGCCCTATACACTAAGAAAAACCATTTTTAAACTACTCATGAGAACATTCCCTCTAAAAATTTCTTATAAAGGCACAATATATATTTACCAGCATATATAACTTCAAATTCATGTATATTTACTAACCTTTAATTGCGCAAATACGTATTTAGTTCAACCGAATGTCAAACAAAACAATAGTAAAAACAAGGAAGAACGCTATAGTCGAGTACCTCGACTATCAGATACCTGTTACTCAGCTAAAGGGACCAAAGAGAAATGGAGATATGCAAGCAGCAATGCGAGACTAAAATACGCCACCTACCGGCGGTAGACAGATTTAAGCGTTATGGGCGTTAGAGTGGGCGTGGCAAATTTTTTTTTTGATCAATCGAAAGGTATTGACGAGACCAATACATTTTAGTTAAAATTTTGTATCCAGCATGAAAATTGTGGGTGTCACAGGTTTGGGCGGTTTGTAGGCGTTAAAGTGGGCGTGGCAAACTTTTTTAGGTCAATCGATAGGTATTGATGAGAACAATACATTAAAGTTAAAATTTGTATTCTAGCATTAAAACTGTAGGAGCCACAGTTTTGGGCGGCTTGTGGGGGTAAGAGTGGGCGTTGCACATTGCTGAAACAAACTTGCGCTGCGTAAGAAGCTCAGGAATCTGCACGCCAAATCTCAATAGCCTTCCTCTTATACTTTCCGAGATCTCAGCGTTCATCCGGACAGACGGACATGGCTAGATCGACTCGGCTAGTGATCCTGATCAAGAATATATATACTTTATGGGGTCGGAAACGCTTCCTTCTGCCTGTTACATACCTTCCGACAAATCTAGTATACCCTTTTACTCTTCGAGTAACGGGTATAAAAGCAAGAACCAGACTAGGACTCAGAAGTAGCACAAGCATACCAAATATTAGGGAGGAAGAAACTTTGATCATGGTTTCGGCTAACGCATCGGGGGTTTCTAGGACCACTACCCCCAGCAATAGTACTAGCACCATCCTGAACACGTCAACTACCACAACCCTAAATACCACTTTGAGCCCCACCGATATACAAGCCTACGTTAAACAGTTGTCTTCTTTCGAAAGGACTCCAGGTACCCTACATAAATTTGTTTGCAAGCGTTGAGGAGATATTTATGTTAATAAGGGGAAAAGATCAAACCCCGTACGGACAATTTCTACTAAGAACTTTGAGAAACAAAATTATAGGAATATTTTGCACACTAAACTTGAATGCGACAGTATTAGAGAAAACCTC